AAACTTTTTTGAGATTTGCTGATGCAAACCAAGTCAAGAGCTGATGTTTTTTTCTCAAAATAATTTCAGCTTAAACTTGTAAAAATATGGATCCATAACATTTCAAAATCATTGCATTCTGTTGTTATTTTCATTTTACATGCCATTCCAACATTTTTGGAACTGGTTCAGGTAGTTTTTTTTCTACTTTTAGCTCCGTATTATGTCACTGAGAATGGATATGCCTTATATGGGCACCTTAGTTGTGTAGCCAATAGGAAGAAAGTTGGCTCAAAGTGGGGCGGGGGAGCTGAAATTGCTTCTTTCAGACAGAGGATGAACTACGAGGCTACGCCAAGGACCAGTGTGAGATAAAAAAGGGTTATTTTTAACCAGGGATCCTTCAAAGCTACTCAGCAAAGCTAAGCAGAGTTCAAGAATGAAAACATGGAGCTGGAAGAGAGCACCACCGGTGCCATTTAAAGAAAGGTTATCTTATAAAAAGATGATTAATGTGAGGGCTTTTTGTCCTTTATCCACCCACAGCATACCAAACGATCAGAGGTTATTACACACACTTCCTGAATTATTCCTTGGAGTTTCATTCTTACCACAAGTAAATTCCCAGAAATACAACGCAGAGTGCCAATTGTATTGGAAAAAATGCAGAGTGATGAAGTCCAAACCACTATCACTATTCTTTAGGAGGAAATGCACAAATGAAGTCGCTGATAGTTTGGTGGAGAAACCACAGGATTTTATAAATCATACAAAACAAAAAGAGCATTATAGGACATTAGCTGTGCCCAGAAACACAAGAGGACGTGGAGGACTGCCAAGGGCAAGAACAGTTCCTCTAAGGGATGTTCGTGAGAGTTCAGATGGTGAAAGTTATGTCGCTGTTACTATCAGTCGATCTTACGCTGGAGTTTTTATGCAAAGCAAACAATAACAAATACAGAAGCTACACTTATCCTTATATCACGTATACAAAGCCTGTTTCTGTGATTGAACACACACATCCTGCCTTTGGTTGTCTGTTTTTCAAGTGTGTATTTTATAAGGTGTTGTACATATTTTTAAATGGCTTGCACACTTTTTTGCAGATTCATAATGCATTTTTTACATTAAGAGTGTATTTTCTCTTTTTTCGTATCATACACGTTTTCCTTTGCAAGGAGGACATGTTTGTCATCAACTCTAGTGTGGAAATATAAGTGTATGTGTCTAAGCATTGTGTAACCTTAACAGACTGTACATATTTTTATGATCTTTAAGAATTGCCACTTCACCTTGCAAGGTACTGTATACGTTTTGTATGTTTTGCCACGTGTGCTACAAATACAGATACCCAGTGTTATACGGCTCACGTTATACGGCTCACGTCAACAGTATCGCTCTCATCTGGATTTGGTTTCTTTTATTAAATGAGCTGGTATGCATCAGGTTTTACACACTGCTCCGCCTGCTTTGGACTTCACTTATTTAATCTGGCACTTCTTTGGCCTTCACAAATACACACAGCTGGGCTGACTTTTGTTTCTGGCTCCTACTTCAAACCTCTATCATCTCCTCCCTCGACTTCAACAGGCTAATTTTAGCTTAAGACAAGACAAGGAGTCTTTTAAACTTTTTTTCTTTCACATGCTGCACTGCAGTGACCCCTGGTGTTCAGGATATTTACTCCAGCAGCTGTTAGGAAAAGCTTAACAGTCAAGAAGCTCATTACTTATCAAAGAAAAGATATGTGCTCTTATTTGTGTTATGTTATAGCCTCATTCCAAAATGAAATTCTACACAAGTGAAAAACATTTTTGCTGGAAGTATATAAAATATATAATTACATATTACATGCCCATAATTACTCACAGACTTTGCTCAACATCGTGTTGAAGCACCTTTAGCAGCAATCACAACCTAAAGTCTTTGAATATGATGCTACAAGCTAGCACTCTTGTTTTTGAGCAGTTTCTCTCGTCCTTCTTTGGAGAACCACTCAAGCTCCACCAGGCTGCGCAGTCATTTTTGGCTGTTCAATCAGGTCCAAGTCTGGCCTCTGGCTGGACATTCACAGAGTGAAGCCACTCCTTTGTTATCT